TTAAATATCCATTTTTCCAAGAATTGCTTCTGTCCAAATTCCTGTTTATTATTCCTTTCTGGGAATGATTCTCATCTGAAAGAGAAAAGCCTCCACAGAGTATTAAGCTTATAAAATATGAATACAGATATCTGATAATCTTGTCTTAGTCTGACACAAGGGCAAATAAATGAGAAATTAAATTAAGAAGACTGTGATGCACCAATCTTTCCAGCTAGATATATTTTGCTGAAATTTAGTATTTTCACCTTGATTTGATCTCTGAAGTCTGTGTGGTGAATAGTATGTTTTTGTACGCCTGTGTCACCAAATGATGTAGAGTCACTCACATCATAGCAGTAGAAATAGTGTCATGTTCATGGGAAATAAAAACATACTTCACAGGAAATAAATATACACTACAATAACAGTAAAGGTATGTTAAATTGTACATTAATATCATACAATTTTTTAATTTTTTTTGTGAACTGATATATGTATTTTTGGTTACAAATGTTTCATGGTTGTATGTGATAAAAGGGAGAAGTCACACTGACATGCAATGTGACAGAGAGGTTGGGACATGTGTTGCCAGTCAAAAGGTTTGTAGCAAAGAGATTGGATTCAACATCTTTTGGCAGGATGTTTGTATTTCCCGCAGGTAGGATTTTGGTTGCATGCTGGGAGAATTTTTATTATTTTTTATTTTTTATTTTAGACAAAGCTTTAATGTTACTGTTTTATTTTATTTTATGTATAATTTTCATCCTTATTATTATTTTATTCTTATTTATTTATAATAATAATGTCCCTACAACTGGCATTGGTTAGAAATATCTATCTTACTCACCAGAAATATCCCCCTTCAGCTATACCCCCATATATATATATATATATATATTCGACTCTCTCCGTCGAATTCGACGTATGAGGGTCAATCAGATCAGTTCCCAGGAAACCGACAGTCCGACAACAGCACATGAGCTTTGATTATAGTGGTGAAGGCTTCATGCAGGACCATCCACACTTTTTGAAGGGCCGAATACAGAGACCTGGTGCACCGAATGCCACAAGGTTCCCAAATGACCCTCTGCAGGTTTTGAATTCAGAGTTGTCCTTCTCCTAGACCAGTTGCCATCCAAGGCTATAGAACCCAGTCTGTCCTGCTATTTTACCCATAGCTGGAGGGAGAGGAAGAGGATTAATACCTTTCCCATGGGTATTAACACGTAAGTGAATGTAATGGATTCGACTGGAATTTGAATTCCTCAATCCAAGCCGCTATCCATTACTCCACCATGCCTCCTAATATATATATATATATATATGTATATATATATATATATATATATATATATATATATATATATATATGTATATATATTCTTTGGGTGGTGTTTTCAAGCAATGCCTGAAGAATGCTGCTGACATGAAACTCAGCATAAATTTTATCTCCATTATTTTACATCAAGCACTTTCATTACCACCAGCAAACTTTGTGTAATAATTTATACTTTTACATATATATATATGTGTGTGTGTGTGTGTGTGTGTGTTATTATTTTTGTCAACCAGCAAGAGCTATGATAAGTTTTGCTTAAAGGTATAATTTGGCCTTGTCTGACAGATTGGTTCTTTTGTAGCTTAGTTGGTCAAATCATACCAGCTGTAACAGTAGTTCCTGCTGCTCACAGAGATGCATGTTCATATCCTGACAGAAACCATAAATTTTTCTTATAATAAGGATTCTTAAACATTCAGGCCTGTAGACGAAAATAAATAAATATACTATTTAATAAATAAATGGAGCATCTACTCAAATATGAGCATCCACTAAAAATAACCTTTAAAATGATAATATATATATATATATATATATATATTTGCACATACACATATACAGAGTGCGATGGATAAATTGTCGTCTGCATTACGCAAAAATGGAAATAATGCTGGCATTTCATTTTAACAGATATATTTACCAAAATTACACAAGAATTTTTTGAAATAATAAAGAATAGACTTATTCAATTAAATCACTATTACCTTCAACCAGACGACTTTGGAATCTCTTGCATTTATATAAATATATTCTCCTGTATCTCTTCTGGATGGTCTTCTTGTTTAAGTTGGTGAATGCTGCCATGATTCCTTATCTTTAGTTCATCTTTGGTATAACAAGGACTTTTGTTGGTCTCTCACTCAAAGCCCCCCCCCACACACACACTTAATAATCAAGGGGGTTGCAGTCTGGGGAACTAGGTGGCCAGATATAAGGGGAGATGTGGTTACAGAAACTGTCTAATAGCCATGACTGGTTTCTCCTGCTAATGTGGCATGGTGCAGAATCCTGTTGCCAGACATAGGGTCTTCCAGCAGACACCTGCTTAGCCCAGGGCAGCACTGTCTCCTGAAAGCACTTGATGTAGGCCTCTGTGCTGAGTTTGAAGCCCTCATCAACAAATTTGGGACTTACTTTCTTATCAGAACATAATGAGTTTTCCGAGCTGCCATAACTTCATAAACACAATTAGACTAATCCAATTTTTTACAAATCTTTTGCACTGTCTTCAGTTTGGCATGCAAACACTCTGAAATGTTTGTGCAGCATGCCATTTCCAAATTTCTGGTGGAATGAATTGCATCATGATGCTTTTTTTCCCACAGATGATGCCTAACTGACCCTACTATACGCTGCAGTTAACAGAATCAAAAACAAACAATGTATATGCCCAAAATTAAAAATATAATATGGTGACAATTTACCCATCACACTCTGTACAGAGAGAGAGAGACAGAATTGGTTGGTTGGTTTTATTTATTGGTATATCAATCTCTATGGATTATTTAATGCCAAAATCTAAATATTTAGTACATAATTTTTATGATTTCAACTACCGATATCTTCTATAGTTTCAGGACAAATGCATGTTTTTATTTATATATATATATATATATATATATAGAGAGAGAGAGAGAGTTTATAAATCATATTGGTAATATTGCTGGTAATTTTACTATAAAAATATATGGTTATACTTCATTGTTGTATCTGTCTATATTTCTGAGATGAGGTATTATTATGTACATTATTCGGACTATTGTCCTCATCTTTATTGCCATATTTATTACAACATTTTGGTCGTTGAACACTCCGGCATTCTTCAGGTGGTTGGAATGTCAAACTGCACCCTTTATTTCGCACACTGGGGTAGACTGTTGTAGTTCCACGTGCCATGTTTAATGGATGTCAGTTATCTCCTGTTAATTCCCCTCTTCAAGTTCTCCACTGCATTAACCGGGTATTGAACTCACACTCTTTGGGTCCTGTCACTGGATCTAACTAACGCCTTTATCCACTGTGCCATGTGCCCTTGAGGTGGGTGGGTTGTTTTCTGCATGTTTTGACTGTTTAAATTGTATTTTATTTTTGTGTTGTTTTGAATAGGAGCGTTTATTTCAAGCCTTCCCATGCTGATCACTGCTGGGATTTGAGTATATATGTATGGTGGCCTTTAAGCGACCGAAAAGTTCGTTCATTAGAGAAAGGTGAACTTCTTGTTTCTATGCAGAGCAGTGCTAGTGCGGTATGCGTACCTGTGTTGATGTGTGAAAAGTTTCCATGTTATAAAGAAACAGCTGTTGCATTCCACAGACAGGAAACTGGCAGGATATCTGACTCATTTTTTTAACATTTTCATTTTAGTTTTATATTTATTTTACTTACGATTATTCACCCATGTTAAAAGTCATTGCTATGCAACTAACGAAATGAATCTGTTCCACAGTTCAGGTGAGGAAGTTGAGTGGAACTTACTCCTTATCAAACAGAGGGAATGGAGCTTATTTTGGTGCCATGAACACAACATGACAGTTAGTGGAATTCTGAGCTGGTGGACTAATGAATGTAACTCGTCCGAACATCTACCATAGTAATAGTGATAGAGTAGTGAGAGGCTAGTAACATTTTGTGACATTTGTGGGATAATATAATATTTGGCAACTATATTCAATGCATAAATGAACGGTAGACATATAAAAATGGAAGATTGATTCTGGCAAGGAAAAATTGTCTAGCACAACAAATTGTGCCAAATTTCCCAGCAGCACACTTAGCAACTGACTTGATATAATCGTTCCAATTCATAGCAGTGGAAAATGCAAGACCAAGACGGCACAATGATTTCAGGTAGAAATTTGGTTACATGTCTCTGAACTCTTTCCAGCAGATTTTTTATCCCTTTTCAAATATAGCAGTCATGTCTGTACACACTCCTCAAGATAAAGACATACATACATATTGTACTACTATGTTAGAAAAGAATTTTGTCAATATTCTAATACATATTCTGGAAATTAATGAATTTGTTGAATTCTGCCTGAAAGCAATCTTATTTTATATTTGTTTAATGCTTTCAAATTTATTTAAAGATATTCACATATTTATTTGTTTCCTATTTCTTTTAGGACGTTAAAGGTTTTGGATTTCAGGAAACATTCATTGCTGGATTAAACAATTTGCTTTAAGCAATGACATTAAAAATGGTAAAAATAAATAAATGAAAATTGATGCCCAATTATCATGTAATTTTACAAACCAATGAAGAGGAAATTAATTCTTTAAAAAGTGATTATACAACATAGATAGTTTCCCATATATTAAATGTACAAGACTGACCGCCTGAGAAAAGGTGGTATTTTGGATGGGAAAGGAGACCTCTTGATCAGTGAGTTACTACTCTAACCTCAAAGCTAGAGAATATCCTAAAAGGCAAAAGAGAATTATTTTATTTATTTTTATTTATTTTGGGTGAAATCTGGAAAATAGAGATTTCTGAAATCTTTTCAGAGGGCACTGAACAATTCAAAAACATATAATGATGAAAGAGGGCTTGGTGAATTGGACACTCACGTGATATATTGAAAGCAAGAAGGACAGATGAAAGCAGCAAATAACCTTATCTTACAAGCGTGTGTAACTGGATGGCAGAACATGAACTGGGAGAGATGATGAAACATTACTAAGCACTACAACTTGTAGAAAGTTCTGGATTGTCTATGCCCTGAAAAAAAAAAGAAAAAAAAAGAAGAAGAAGAAGAAAGAGATAAGTAGAAGGCAGTAGAAATAAAAGAAGGGTGAGAGGGGGTGAGCCAAAGACGGTTGGAAGGAAATAAATAGGAGTAGTAGTAGTAGTAGAAGGAGGAGGGATGAATGTGAGAAGAAGAAGAAGAAGAAGAAGAAGAAGAAGAAGAAGAAGAAGAAGAAGAAGAAGAAGGAAGAGGTGAGTGGAGGAAAGAAAGAAATAATAAAAATAAGCGGAGGAGGTGAGCAGAAGGAAGGATAAAGAAAAGAAATAGTAAAAGAAAAAAAAGGATGAGGAGGAGTAGATTAGCAGATGAAAGAAGAAGAAGAAGAAGAAGATTGCTTGAGAGTCATGATTGTCTATGCCCTGAAAAAAAAAAGAAGAAGAAAAAGAAGAAAAAGAAGAAGAACAACAACAATTTCAGTGTGTGAAATTGTAAGAAATTTTAACTTTTTCTGGTTATAATTACATTTTTTCTTTTCTCCCTCTTTACATTTTCTAATTTTATTATTATTATTATTAATTGTGTATTTCATGTTTCCTGCTTTGTATTATATAGAGCTGGGTCCAAACTATGGTCCTTAGGCCCTATAGGAGAATTGTCATTTAAGTGATAGCTTTTCTTAGTATATGGGATGTTTCTAGTAGGGTGATCTTCTAAACAACCTGTATGGCAATGTTACCTGGGACATTATTAATAAAATTGTACATTCCTTTTTTTCACAAGGCCCAGTGCTCCGATTACTATTGGTACAGTCTCAGTATTCATTCCCCACATCCTGTTAATCTCAATCTCCAGGTCCTTGTATTTGGACAATTTCTTGATAATTTTCATGGAGGTGTTTCTCTCAGATGGTACTGCTATGTCAATAAGCATACGCTTCCTGAATTTCTTGTATTTTATGATAATATCAGGTCTGTTGGCTTTTATTCCCCTGTCAGTTTGAATTTGCATGTCCCAGAGGATAGTTACATTGTTATTTTTGGTAACTGTGCCTGTTAAGTGCTCATGTTATCTCTCAGTGGTTTTGATTTTGTGCTTCTTGCGTATTTTCCAGTCCACATATGTTGCTATCTTGTTATGCTTGTGAGTATATTCATTTTTTGCAAGTTCCAGACATCCTGAGGTAATATGGTTGATAGTTTCATCATATTTTTCCACAGATCCTGCATTTCAGGTTAGCTCCATCCTTGATTATATGATAGTGATAGGATCTGGTCTTGAGTTTTTGGTCCTGAGCTGCAATAATTAGGCCTTTTGTCTCAGCTTTCAACTCGATGCTCCTACTTTTGTTCTTTTTAGATATTTAAATGTAGTCCCATAGAATTGTAGCAGGTCCTATCTCCGTAACCGGGTCCGGGTGGTGTTCATACCAGTTTCTTTCAGTTTTCTTCCCGTAGAAGTTGCAGATTTTCCAGTGCAGATATTGGCCCACTCAGGTTTTATATTCAGTGGGTGCCAACATCGTGCAACCTGATACAAGATGATCAATCGTTTCTGGATACTTATTACAGAATCTGCATTTTGGGATGACACAATATTTTAGTATATGTGCTTGATAATTGTTTACTGATTGCAGCAAGGATAAAATCTTCAGTTTCAGCTTTTTACATAGCCACTGATGGGTACGGATTTTGTCTATGGCAGCTTGTTTGGTATGGGCAGAGTATTGGCCATGAAGCGGTTTATCTTGCTATCACTTCTGTATCTGGTCATTGCATTCATCTTTGCTGTCTTTTTTTAAGTATTTTGAGTTTCAGTCGGTGTATTATTATTATTATTATTATTATTATTATTATTATTATTATTGCTAGTTGTTGTAATTTTAAATTTTGATTAATTTAAAAGAAATATTTGTTAACAAATAGCTCCATTTATTGTATTTGCAATCTTACTGGTGATTTCAGTGACTGACAAATCTGTTGCCTACGTGCCTTACAATAATTGCCAAGAAAATCTCAGTCTTCAAATTTTCCATTTGATTTTCAGTTGATAGAAGTTATCACACCTTATACTAAGTTAAAACTTAAATGATTATTAAAGTTCTGATAGAATCCTAAGCTCCATCACTGGTGCCAATTCCACACCTGGATCCCTAATGAACTTTTTCCAAATTTTATCTTTCATTCTATTTCTTATCCCTATTTTCACACATGCAACATCTCTGCCTAAATCCTGTAATTTTATTATTTATTTTTTTCAAATAGGAATAGACAGATTCAGCTATCACCTGTTTGAACAGGAGTAGAGGTTTATCCTTGTTTACTATATAAGATTGTGTTTCTGCTTCTTTCTAAAGTCGACTTCAAATTCTAATGTGAAATTTTATTTAATAATTATTTTTTTTTACTCCACAATAGCAACAAGTTACATTCACTTGTTGTTCAGTTCACTCCCCTTCCCAGTCTTTTGAACAAAGGATTAACATCTAATCCTGTTGGATTAGAGGTTTATCCCTGTTTAGAATTGGGTTTCTAGTTCCTTCTAAAAATCTATTCAGTCTCTTTCACACATAGCAGCTCCTTGTGTTTTAGTGGTATTATCACCTTTATGGGGCGAATTGATTAAAAAAATAAATAAATAAGGGTGTTTTCCACATTACTCAAATGTTCAGTTCCTAGTATTCTCAGCAGCATACCGTAGGATCACATAATACTCCTAAAAGAATCTGCATCTAAGTGCTTAAATTAATCATTGCCTCTTGATTTATGATGGAAAAATAAAATGAGAAAGATGAGTCTAAGTATGAGGAAAGTAGAAAAAACTGACATCGGACAAAAAATAAGGAAGTAGTCTTCTTTCTTCTGAATTCAATTCTAAGAATCTATTAGGAACATTAAGGATTAATCATTCTCACACCTGAGAAACATTATTCAATTGCAATCAATTGAATTTCAGAACTGGACAACTGTTGATTACGGACCAAGACTGCAAAAATAGTAACAGCTTTGTTCTTTCACGACATCTGCAGGCACCGCAGAAACATTGATTTTTCGGCTGCTTTATTACTCTTAGCAATCAGAACTTTTTAATAGTTAAAAGATGCAGGGAAATTGAATTAGATCTTATCTCATCAATCACTTTAGCTCAATAGCATATAACCATCAGATTCTTTGACTGAGTAGACAGTGAGGACTCCTTCAATGGCTTGTCCTGGATATAGTTGTTTATCAAAGAGAATAATAATTGCTAGGTGGTGTAATGGATACAGTTCAGAATAAGAAACTGTTTATATAAATAGACTAGCAGCATATTCCGGCGTTGCCCATGCTTGATTCAAAATCGTACGACTGATACAGCAATTGCTAATACTTGACTTAAAATATTTTTGCCCTTTGCCTTTTAAATATGCTGATGTTTACATGCCTTACTTCTTGCCTATCTCACACTGCAAATTTTTTTCTAAGTTCTATACTAAACATTAAATCTGTTACGAAAATAGAATTAAACAAAATGAACACAAAACGATCAGCTTTAAAAAAGGACTCGTAACTGGAAAAACCGAATGAATAAAGAATGTTAACAAATATTTTTCACACCCAACCCAGTTCTGCAGAATCAGAATCAATGTTGAGTTTAAGCAAGCGAATGAACCAATTGGAGTAAAGTGCCATGCAGATTTAAATTTTTCCCACTTGTGACGAATGTAGCTATTGATTTTTTTTGCATGCTAGCATGCTAGTTAACATTCATGTCAGTCAGCTGGTGGCTCTCACACTGGCCAATAGAATCTTCCTGCCTATTCATGGCAGCCAGCTATTGGCTCTTACTCTGGCCAGTACAAAATGGTTGCAAACTACATGAAAACTGCCGTAGAAGCATGAAAAAATTCAATTATTTTTACTATCAATGGGAGTTGGGAAATGCAAAGTTGGCCTACATGCTAACTTGGAGCATGTGCATGTAAATTTTGGTTCAAATCCATCGAAAATTGCGGCCATCCATTCGTTACACACACACACATTCTGCCCTTTATAGATAGAGATAGATAGAGTACAGGATAAAAGAGATAGATTTGACTGAAAATTCCCGCCAATATTTTTTTTTTATAAGTTTTATATATATATATATATATATATATATATATATATATATATATATATATATATATATATATATATAGCCCATAGGTTGCGTTCAATGAGGAATCTATCACCTCTCGGTTTTGACCTCAGTGCTGCCACCCTTTTATATTTACATATGCTCTATCCCTGTTACTAACACCTTGCAGCATGTCACACATTTTTTGGGAAGAAAATGATGATTGAATTAAAATCATTATTATAATTTGTGAAGGAAAATGATGCATTTTAATATTACTCAATGATCTTGCCGATATTACCTCCATCTTCTGGATTTCTCCTTCTATATTTTGGATAGGAGCATTGTTCAAATTTAAATTTTATTTAAATCAAATGGAAAAAAATTATTTATTTACCCACCGGGAAATCAAAATGAAAAAAATTACACTGGGTAATGTAGTTTCAGAATATATATGGTTATGGGGATCTATCTCCAAAACCTTAGAAGTTGTTTGATAACAAACTGAGGCTACAACTTTTATATATATATATAAGTGATAGACATTTTGGTGATTTATATAATTTCTCATAATAATTCATTGAGTTTAGAAAAAAAATCCTCAACAGAATGCAGAACCTACTGGATGGCTGTTTGTTCTTTTTGGGACTCATTAGTACTGGGCATGCACTACCAAGAATCAAACCCAGACTGTTACGATAAAATGTAAGCATCATACCACTGGGCCAGTGGGCCTTGCTGATGAAGAGGAAACTAACTGGACTCACTATAGCATAGTTACTATATATATATTATATATATATATATATATATATATGTGTGTGTGTGTGTGTGTGTGTGTGTGTGTGTGTGTGTATATATAGTAAAATTATAGTTTTAAGGTATGCTATATTTATGGGCAAAAGTGCTCAATATCTGAGATAGAACATATGTATATATCAAATAGGACACTGAAGTCACCACTGAGCAGCAACTGTCTGTTTCATGCTTAAATGCAATCTTCAGGATACATAACAGCCTATATATATATGTCAGTAAGTTTGCAAGTCTGGTCCGAATTGCTATGGTTGCTAGAGGTCTTGCCCTGTTTCTTGAATTGTGTTTTTGATATGGTAGCTCTTGAAAAACCAAACAGTTCAGCAACCTTAGTGATCGAGGTTCCTGCCATGTGAGCTCCAACAATTTGCTCTTTTTCAAACTCAGAGAGGTCATGCATCTAGCTTAAATTTTACTGAATTCTAAAAATAGATAATCCAAAGTAAATTAGATAAATAAATACAATAGATATAACCTGCAATTACAAAGTTTTAGTTAAAGTTCTTAATATAATAGGTCTTTGAAATATGAGTTGATTTTGCAACTGTTCAAATTATTTTGTCCAACCCCTGTATATATATATATATATATATATATATATATATATATATATATATATATATGTATGTGTGTGTGTATATGTGTGTATATATATTTATTTATATATATATATATATATATATATATATATATATATATATATACAGTGATTTTTTAATTACATATTTTTACATTTTTTTTTACTTACTTTGACTGCCAACCCCTTTTGTCCAACCCCTGTATATATATATATGTGTGTGTGTTGTGTGTGTGTTGCATGTGTATATATATATATATATATATATATATATATATATATATATATATATATATTAGGTTGGTGCAAAAATAATGACGTAATCATGTTGTTTTTTGACGTATTTTTTAACGTCAAAAAACGACATTATTACGTCATTATTTTTTGCACCAATCTAATATATATATATTCTTCCAGTGATTTTTAATTACATATTTTTTACATTTCCTTTTTACTTTGACTGCGTAGAAAGTTAGGACTACTTAAATGGGTTGTCAAGGTGAATAGTATATATAAAATAATAATTGTGGGTGGGGATGCAGTTCAGAATGAAAAATCATAAATTTGTTTATATATATATATATATATATATATATATATATATATATATAGTCATGCCTTGAGACATGAGCGTACAGACATACAAGATTTGGAGATACTAGCTGGAGTTTATCCATTTTTTTGCCTTGAGATATTAGCTGAATTTTGAGATACAAGTGAGTTTCTGTTAAGCATTTACTGTTTAGTGCAATGAGTGCCAAGCATTAAAAACATGCTTTCAATTTGCTTCAGAATGATCTATGTAGTGGTGTTTTTTTTTTGCGGGGGGGGGGAAATTCCTTTAGTGGAATCATGGGTCCAAATAAAGTAAGTCTAAAGAAGAGTCGTGAAAAGCCAAAATGTATGATTTGGTAAGAGGGTATGGGCGTTCTACATTGGCAATAAATAAAATATTATAAAATTTTAAAAATTAAAAAAAATTAGTTTACAGTATTAGATAAAATGTAAATGTCTTAAAATTTTTTTAAATTAAGTGATAAAGTTAATCTTCAGTATTATAGACAAGGCTACCATTGCTACATTTCTTGTTTATTCACACGTTTTTGCTTGTAAGAAACCCACAAAAGCAGAAATGAGTTTTAGGAAAATGAGGGTGATTTTAGGAGTCTGGAAATATTCCCATTAATTTCAATGGAGAAAATTGATACAAGAGATTTGGGTTAAGAGCTTAGTCCTCAAATGCATTAAACTTGTACCTAAAAATATTACTCTGTGTATGTGTGTATATATATATATATATATATATATATATATATATATATATAAGGTTAATGGCCAGAGTTGAATCAGACCAGGAAACTGTAGTATTAAAAGTGCTCAATACACATGTGAAAAAAATATAAATAAAAGTGAAAATAACATGTAGAGCTTTTGACTTTAAAAATCAGGAGGTCATTTAAAATATGTAACCTTGTCAAAACCAATGTCACATTTTTTAATTGACCTCCTGAATTTTTATATATATATATATATATATATATATA